TTCCAGCCTACTCCTAGGGTGGTTTCATAAGTAACTCCCTTGGGCAGTATACCTCCCCATGCACCCTAGACGGTGGATTTCCCATAAGTTTGGAGCATAGATTTCCAGCAAATTCTGCAGGTAGGGCACCACTGTGACTTCTCTGCTACCCAGTGAACCAAGGCTCTAACAAGGTCTGGATTCTCAGCCCTGGGGGTGGAAGTAGTGAGGCGCGGTGACGAGGTGGAAGGGTAGGTTTTATCTCAGCCCTAGGGGTTTACAGCTGCTATTCTTATATTATTTATGGGTCTCTTTATATCTTACAAGCCAGTCCCTTGTTATTGGATTCCCAGGATGGTTAATAATAAACTTTCCCTATTCCAGTTACTATGTGATTTCTCTTTCCTTACAAGACCCTAACTGATATAAGCATAACTTTATAACACATAACACAAACATCCTAGGAAAAGACTGACACAATCGACCACGTAAAACTAAAATGTCTGTGGAAAAATAAACCATTAAAAAAAGGTGACAAATCAGGAGAAAATACCTGTACTATGGGTAACAGAATAAGGAGCAATAGCCAATCAATAAGAAAAAGATACAAACCCTAATAGAGAAATGGGCAATGCATATATACAAGTAATCACACAAGAAGAAAAACAAATGGTTAAAAAAGCATAAGATGTTACAACTCAGTAATCAGAGAAACACAAATTAAAATAATATACCACCATATTTGGACAGGGAAAGGGGCAATCACATTGGAAAAAACACTAAAAAGTATAAGGTATTTGTAAGACTATAAGCAAACTCTCACTAATTGGTAAAAGAACAAACTGTCAATGCCTTTTTCAGAAGGCAATTTATCAGTACCCATTACAGTGCTTAAGAATTTACATTGAACAGACTTTTTTTAATAAACTAATAAGAATCTATATCATAAGGAATCAGATAATTGTCCATCAACAGATGACTGGATAAAGAAGTTGTGGAAGATACACACACACACACACACACACACACACACACACACATATATATATATACACACACACACACGATAGAATACTACTCAGCCATAAAAAAGAATAAAATAATGCCATCTGCAGCAACATGGATGGACCTGGAGATGTCATACTAAGTGAAATGAACCAGAAGGAGAAAGAAAAATACCATATGATTTAACTTGTATGTGGAATCTTAAAAAAAAAACACACAAATGAACTTATTTACAAACAGAAACAGACTCACAGATGTAGAAAACAAACTTATAGTACCAGTGGGG